AGTGAAGGTGTGGGGGGGTTTCCCTGCCAACCCGCTCCGTGTGGAGGAGGGAATTCCAGGAATTCCACCAGATCCTGCCCGACCTCCTCCACCTGTGTGTAACCCCCAGGATGAGCTTCCCGGGCATTCCTGGGGGTGGGAGCCCCCCCTGTGCCGAGCCTGAGGAACCTGGCAGTGCCCACGGAGGCAGCACTGGATGGGACAGAACCTGGCAGTGCCCACGGAGGCAGCACTGGGTGGGACAGCGCCGGGAAGGGGCGTGGTGGCCGTGCCCAGGTGGGGACGTTGGGAAGAATTCCTGGAGCTGAGATTTCTCACCCGCTGGGCTCTTCCCTGTGTAGCCCCAACAGCTCAGCTGGAGCCAAATCCAGCCTGGAAAGACACAAGTGGGAGTAACGGATGAGGAGTGGAGCTGGGGACAGGGGGAAGGCCACCTGCTCCTTGGAAGGACATTGCCACTCCTGCCCTGCCAGCTGCTGTGGGGTCGGTGCTGCCCTCACCTGAAAAGCACATTCCTGCTCTGGGCCGCCTCTTCCCTTCCAGGATTCCCAGAGGATAACAGTTCAGTGTGCAAAAGGGGCTGGAGCCGGGATTTATCCAACGCCAGAAGGTGCATTTGAGCCTGGAGGTGGATTCCTGGACCTGAGCTCGGAGATCAAAATGTGTTTGGGGAAGAGAGTCCCAAATCCCATCCCTGTTCTTTCCTACCCACCACAGATCACTCCAGTCTGGCAAAAACCGTGTTCTTCCGCTGGTCCTGGGCTCTTGGGAAAAGGGGATCTCCAAGGAATGGGACAGTGACCAGGATCCTGAGCCGGGACATCGGACCCTTCGTCATCCTCCACCTTTTGACCTTAATTCCATCTTGCAGCCCGGAACCTCAGCCAGGAATCGGCTTCCTCTGAGCTTGGATGGATGGAGGGATGGAGGGATGGATGGAGGGAGGGATGGAAGGAGGGATGGAGGGATGGAGGGATGGATGGAAGGAGGGATGGAAGGAGGGATGGAAGGAGGGATGGAAGGAGGGATGGAGGGATGGGTGGATGGATGGAGGGATGGATGGAAGGATGGATGGAAGGATGGATGGATGGATGGGTGGATGGATGGAAGGATGGAGGGGTGGATGGATGGAGGGATGGATGGATGGATGGATGGAAGGATGGATGGAAGGATGGAGGGATGGAGGGATGGAAGGATGGATGGATGGATGGATGGATGGATGGATGGATGGATGGATGGATGGATGGATGGATGGATGGATGGAGGGATGGATGGAGGGATGGATGGAAGGATGGATGGATGGATGGGTGGATGGAGGGATGGATGGATGGATGGAAGGATGGATGGATGGATGGGTGGATGGATGGATGGAGGGATGGATGGATGGATGGATGGATGGGTGGATGGATGGATGGATGGATGGAGGGATGGATGGATGGATGGATGGATGGATGGGTGGATGGATGGATGGATGGATGGATGGATGGGTGGATGGATGGATGGATGGGTGGATGGATGGGTGGATGGATGGATGGATGGGTGGATGGATGGATGGATGGATGGATGGATGGATGGATGGATGGGTGGATGGATGGATGGATGGGTGGATGGATGGATGGATGGGTGGATGGATGGATGGATGGATGGATGGATGGATGGATGGATGGATGGATGGATGGATGGATGGATGGAGGGATGGATGGATGGATGGGTGGATGGACAGGTGGGGCAGCTCTGGGGAAGGGGAACCCCTACGTCAAACGTACCAATGCCCCTTCTTTTCCTCGTGCCCTGGGTAACTCCAGAGCTCCTGGGGGCAGGCAGGGAAGGCTCCAGCTGGCAAAAAAAAATCTGAGGGTCTTAAAAACCAAGTTGTTGGACCTTAATGACATTTTTCAGCACATTCCCACTGCCTTTAAAACTAGTTTGCACTATTCAAATCTGTCAGCAGTGGGGCTGTGCTGATGTACTAGAAAAGCTTGTCCTAGGCAAAACTCATCTGCTAAATATCTTTCTTCCATTTTTATTTTATTTTATTTTTATTTTATTTTATGTTATTTTATTTGGTTGTTTGGAAGATTGTCACCATGATGGTCGAATTAAGGCTAAAAAAAGGAGAGAGAAAACCTTTCTGCTCTCAGCCTGCAGTTCTGTGAACTGGGCAGAATGCTGCTGTCTGCCCAGAAATATATATATATTATATATATATATATATATAATTTTTTTATATATATATATAAAGAAAAGCTAATGTTTTAACAAGGTTAAGAAGCTATTGGGAAGGTGGAGATGGCAGCTAAAAGTGGAAAAAAAAAGCAGGAAAAAAAAAAAGCCTCCCTTCCTGGCAGGCCCTACAGCACAGACCTGGGGGCTCTCGCTGGCACATCCCTGTCCCCAGACACCTCTGGAGGGCCAAGGTGAGCTGTGCCACCTCCCCCCACCAAACTGCCACCTCCAAACTGGGACTGAGATCTTTCAGTCCAACCCAAGCATTTTGGCTCCCTGCCCCCCCCCCCCCCCCCCCCACCATCGCTCCGGCACAATTGTGTCCTTGCACTTTTTAAACTCCTTTTGATTTTTTTTTTCTCTTGTTTCCCCCTCCTCCCCTCAGCTGTGTCGTTCCCCCTCCTTGGCAACCCCCAGAGGTGCCACCCAAAATCCCTGGCACGGGGACCCCCTGCTCAGTGCAGGAGCTGGTTTTTAAAGCTCCCCTGGCTCAGGTGAGCTGTAAAAACCTCAGGTCTCACCCTGCTGCCCCCTCCCACGTGAGGAATCTCAGGCTTGAAAGCAGCTGCTACAGAGAGCAAATGTATTCAGCAAATTAGGGCTAAAATGCTAAATTTCGGGGCTGCCCCCTCAGCCCTGAAGTGCCTGTTTTTGTGTGGTGACTGCACACACACACAGAGCTGGACCTGCCATCCCTCAGATCCTTGGGATTTGGGAGCAGACGTTCCTCAGCACTGGTTTGGGTGAGCAGGAGTGTCAGCCTGGGCTCTGCCACCTCCCTTTGTCCAAGGAGGGGGGATCTTTATTTTATTTCTCACTTTTTGTTACTCCGAGATCCCAAATTCCCGTTGCCATGTTGTTGCCCACGTGGTGCCCGTCACCCCCAGCCCAAGATAAAACCCCAAGGCCCTGAGGTCGTGCCCAGACTTGGTCAGATTCTTCCAAAATTCAGCCACGTTCCACCCCCTGGAATCAGAAACGTGCCAGGACCAGGGAGAGAGGGATGGGAAGGAGGGAAGGCTGTTGGGATCAGTCCCTTGTGCAGCCAGTTGTGGGACAATGCACTGATCTCCCAAAACACCCAGAATCCGTGCTGGAATCCCCCCAAATTTGGGATTTATCCCACTGGGCGACAGCAGGAGACACACAGGGGGTCAGTGAGAGGCACTTATTGAGTGAGGGGGCTGAGAGGTGCTGGCTGGGGCTCTGCACCACTCCTGGGAGGAGATTTGGGAACCCAGGCTTTGGAAGAGGTTGGAAAACAAGGAATTGGGTGTTTGTTTTTTTTTTAGGCAGGCTCACTGTTAAATCAGGGAGGGCTGAGCTGTGCAGCATCTCTGGCCCCCTGCTCGGTGGTGGCAGCAATTGGAATATGATCCCCCCCCCTGGATCTCCGGGGGTTCCTGGGACAGGGTGGGATGAGGCCGGAGAAGGCGAGGGGGATAAGAGACATAAAGCACTTACACACATCTCTCCAACACCTTCCAAAGGCTCCCAGTCCCTGGGAATTGTCACCTCAACCTGTCCCAGAGCCAAAAGTCCCTTTGGCAGCTTGAGGGGAGAGGGGAGGGGAGAAGGGGGGCACTGCTGGAAGGTCGCCAGTTGTATCCCTGTGGAAAAAAAAAAAAGAGGGAGAGAAGGAGAAAGGAAAAAAAAAAGCTAAAGATTATCTGTGTTTCAGTTGCACTGGGGTACGTTTCTTTACCCGTTTTGATGCTGATGTCTCATTTAGTATGTTGCATGTGTCTTTTTTTTGGATTTGTTTTGGGGGTTTTTTTAATTAAATAAAAGAGAAAAATGTGTATATTTTTGGCAATTTAAGGTAATGTAGCTAAGATATATTTTTTTCACGCTGCTTGACTGTTCTTTATTATAATAAATAATATTAATATTAATATCAAAGAGTTTTTTAATGCAGAAAGGGGCAAATTTAAAGAAAATAGGGGCTGTGGGATGAATTCCCTGAAAGGTGCCGGGTCCTGTTTTCCACAGGGAATGTGTGGCAGCATCGGGAGCAAGGGATGCTCTCGGGATGCAGGAGTGGGATCCCCGGGAGGGTTCACTTTGGGAATGAGAGGAGACCAGGGCGAGGGAGGAGCAATTGGTGGAAAGGTTTCCTCCCCCCAAAAACAGGGATAACCCACACTGAGGGCCCAAAACCACTCGCTGACCTCACGAGCATCCAGCAGCTCCCCAGTCCTCCCCTCTCCCGAGGGTTTGTTGCTTGGAAGCACCAAAGCCAAGGGCTCCACGCCCCCCGTTCTCCCGGGGGAAGCTGAGGCACGGGGAGGGCTCGGGAGCCGGGGATCCTGATCCTTCTTGCCCGGGAAAGGGACCGGGATCAGGCCCGGGGATCGGGATCGGGGACTGGGTTTGGGCACCGACACCGCGTAAAAGGATCGGGCACCGGGAGCGGGCACCGGGACCGCGCAGTGGGATCGGGCATCGTGACTGGGACCGGGAGCGGGAACCGGGAGCGGGAACCGGGATCAACAGCGGAACCAGGATCGGGGCACCGGGATCAGGGAGTGGGATCAGACACTGGTACCGGGATCGGGGCACCGGGACAGGAGCCGGGATCGGGTACCGGGACCGCGTACCGGGAGGGACAGCGGGATTGGGCACCGGGAGCATCACCGGGAGCATCACCGGGACCATCACCGGCAGCAGCACCAGGAGCATCACCGGGACCATCACCGGGAGCATCACCGGGACCATCACCGGCAGCAGCACCAGGAGCATCACCGGGACCATCACCGGGACCATCACCGGCAGCATCACCGGCAGCATCACCGGCAGCAGCCGCGGATCCGCGCCCGGTGGAACGTTCCCGCACCGAGCCCGGCGCTCCCGCCGAGCCCGCCCGGCCCGAACCTTCCGGCGACGCGGGAGGAGGAGCCGCCGGGGGAGGTGACCGGGACCGGAGTGGGGTGAGCCCGGAAAGGCGACCGGGGCAGGGGTGCGGTGAGCCCGGCAAGGTGACCGGGACAGGGGTGCGGTGAGCCCGGCAAGGTGACCGGGGCAGGGGTGCGGTGAGCCCGGAAAGGCGACCGGGACAGGGGTGCGGTGAGCCCGGAAAGGCGACCGGGGCAGGGGTGCGGTGAGCCCGGAAAGGCGACCGGGGCAGGGGTGCGGTGAGCCCGGAAAGGCGACCGGGACAGGGGTGCGGTGAGCCCGGCAAGGTGACCGGGACAGGGGTGCGGTGAGCCCGGCAAGGTGACCGGCACCATGCTCCGGCTCGGCTCGGCCACGCTCGGGGCTCTGCTGGGAGCGCTCCGGGGCCGGGCCCCCTTCTTCTTCCGCTCCGCCACCCCCCCGCAGCCCGCGATCGCCGCCAAGGAGCCCTTCCCGGTGGAGCTGAAGGCGGGCAAGAAGTACGCGTGGTGCTCGTGCGGGCACAGCAAGCGCCAGGTCGGGCCGGGGGGACCGGGGGGGCTCGGGGAAATCCGGAGGGTCCGGGTCATGGGGGGCTCCGGAGGGTCCGGGTCATGGGGGGCTCCGGAGGGTCCGGGGGGCTCCGGGATGACGGCGGGCTCCGTGAGCGGGGGAGTCTGGAGGGGCCGGGGAGGTCCGGGGGGCTCCGGGCTATGGGGGGCTCCGGGGGGGCTCCGCCAGCTGGGGGTGGTCCAGGGACTCCGGGGGGGTCCAGGGGCTCTGCTCCCTCCACTTGGGATGTGCGGGGATGCCGATGGGGCCAGGGCAGGACTAACCCCACAGGGACCCCCCTCCCCGGTCCCGGACTGGAGGTTTTTAGGGGGCACGAGGCGCTGTTCCCTCCCCGGCTTCTCCCGCCGCCCCCCCAGTTCCCGAGGGATGCACTGCCCGTGGGTGGGATGAGGGGGGTCGCGGCCCCCCCTGTGTCTCACACACCCCGCGGGGAAGCAGCCGGGCACCCCCAGACCCCCCCCTTTACCCCCTGCCCGTCTGCCCGCAGCCCTTCTGTGACGGCTCCCACATGAAGGCGGCCCCGGGGATGTCCCCGCTGCGCTTCACCCCCCAGGAGGACGGGCCCGCCTGGCTCTGCGGCTGCAAACGCACCCAAAACCCCCCGTACTGCGACGGCACCCACAACGGGGAGGAGGTGCAGGGGGCCCCCCTGCCCCCCCAGCCCTGACGTGGAGCCCACGGGAGCTCGGGACCACCGGGATGCACTCGGGACCACCGGGATGTGCATCCCACTGGAGGGCACGGAGGGAGGGGGGAGATGCTGAGCCCCCACCCCGATTAAATCTGAATTACTGAGGAGCTGCAGCGAACCAGCAGCAGCTGGGAAAGAAGGAATCCTGTGGACAGTGGGGTTTTTCAGGAGCGGTTTTGCGCTGCCAGAGCTGTGGGTGCCCGTCAGGATGCGGGATGGAGGGGCCTGTGGGATTTGGGATGGAGGGGCCTGTGGGATCTGGGGAGGAGGGATCTCTTATGGAGGGACCTGTGTGATTTGGGATGGTCAGACCTGTGGGGTTTGGGATGGAGGGACCCATGGGATTTCTTATGGAGGGACCTGTGTGATTTGGGATGGTCAGACCCGTGGGGTTTGGGATAGAGGGACCCATGGGATTTCTTATGGAGGGACCTGTGTGATTTGGGATGGTCAGACCCGTGGGGTTTGGGATGGAAGGACCCACGGGATTTGGGATGGAGGGACGCATGGGATGCAGGCCAGAGGGACTTTTGGGATTGGGGATGGAGGGACCTGTGGAATTTGGGATGGAATGGCTTGTGGCATGCAGGACAAAGAAACCTGTGTGATTTGGGACAGAGGGACCTGCAGGATGCAGGGCAGAAGGACCTGTGGGATTTGGGACAGAGGGACCCACAGGGTTTGGGACGGAAGGACCGGTGGGATTTGGGACGGAGGCACCAGGAGCTGCCCCTGTGCAGGCGGGAAGGACAGTCTGCAGCATTTATTACATTTACAAAGCTGTATCCATACAAATGTGTAACCAAGAACAATACCTGGACACCGGGCTATCTTACAGGACATTAAAACGCCGTACAGGATGCAAACACACAGAGCCATCGGGTTTGTACCACAGAGGGAAAACCAAGACCAGACCACCCCCTCCCGAGCCCCACACGAACCCCAGCCCGAGGCAGCCGCCTCCCACAGTCCAGCCTGGCCTATTTACAAGGAGAAAAGGGGTGTCAAAGTCGAGACAAACGGAGCCCCCCCCAAAACCTGGAGCCCCCCGGCCCAGCCCCAGCCCAGGGGGTGGGGACAAGAGACAAAAGTGGCCCCGCGGGGACCCTTCCCGGGGCCTCCCCAGCGCCTGGGGCTGTGCTATAGCCGAGTCCGTGCTGGGGGTGCAGCACTTCCCAAAAACAATAGTTCCAAATCAGAAGCTACAGTAACAACATCCCGTGTTTTCCCGACCCTGGGAGTCGGGGCTGTCCCTACAATTCCACCTTCCTTTGGTTCTCACCGTGCCGTGGGGGCCGCCGGGCGCTGCAGGCACTTGCTATAATTGTTTTGTGTCCTTCATCCCCCTCCCCAGCAAGGACAGGAGAGGAACCCTCGGGATCTGCATCCCCCGGGGCTCGTGTGCTTTTTTTCTGTCCGTGTGGGAAGTTGGTCCCTTCCCTCGGGGCCGCTCCACTCCTGCCCTAAGCACGGCAGGACCTTCCCACACTCGCCCCTCACCGAAGCCTCCTGGCTAAAGGCACTGTAGTCTGCTTTTTTGTATTTTATTTTATTAAAAACCCAATGCGAGGGCAGGAGGAGAGGGTGGGAAGGACGGTGGGGAGGGGGGAGACCAAAAAATAAACGCTTGGAAATGGGCGCCCTGGGGGGGTCCCCACACCCTCCTGGATTTGAAACCCCCAACCATTTGGATGCCCCCAAATTTCCCGGAGCTGTTGGCACCCCCAGGGAGGAGAAAATATCCCCAAAGGGTTGTCCTCCGACCCCCAGTGCCAGCAAGCTGCAAGCAGAGATAATTTTTAAGCTGGGAAATAAAACCCCAAAGAGAGAACTTACTGTGCAAGGAGGGGAAGTGTCTGTGCGAGGCTTTGCCTGCCCAGAGCCTGAAACACAGGGGACTGTGTGTCCAGAGAACACAGGGAAAGCAAAGAAAGACCCAAACTCACGCGTGGCAAAGCTGGGGGTGGTGGGACACCTGGACCAGGGGGCAGCTGCGGGCACCAGGTACGCCTGAAAACCCCCAAATAAACACAAAAATGCAAAAAAAAAACCCCAAAAAACAAAAAACCCCACAGCACAGCGAGGCTGAGGGGCAGTTTTTGGCTTCTGTGCTTGGCCCCTTACCTGTGCTTGGCCCTTACCTGTGCAGCCAGGAGTCCCCACTGAGTCCCCGTCTCGCTCCGGGCGGGACACGAGCGAGGAGAGAGGGATGAGGAGGAGAGGGAAAAGCGTTAGAGAGGAAACAGGGAATTGTGGCAGCACCTGCGTGGCTCCCAGCTCCGGCATGCAGCTCCCAGAAGGGGAAACCAAAGTCCACAAACCGAGAAACGACAAAAAAAACCAAACCAAAAAACAACCAACAAACCAACCAACCAACCAACCGCAAACGAACGAACCGACGAACAGAAAAAAAAAAAAAAGAGAACATTTAAAAAATACCCACCCACGTTCCTGTGTCTTGTTCTGCGTTTTGTTTTGTTTTGTTTTTTGTTTTTTTTTTTAAATTAATCTGCTCGGTCGATAGAAAATAAGTATGTATAATTATTTCTTTTTTTTTTTTTTTTTTTTTCCTCTCCCTATGTACAACATATATATTTATATAAGGTCTGTATAGAACAATCTACATAAGAAAAGCCGGGGCGGGGCAGTCCCTGCCGGGCGGGGTTTTAGGTCAAGGCCGAGCCCGCGCTGCCGTTCACAGTCGTTTTGCGGCACCGGGCGCCGGTGGGTGCCAGGGGGTGGCAGTTCGAGGTGCCGTTCAGGGTGGTGCCGGTGCCGGAGCTGGGCGAGCCGTGGGACGGGGTGCCAGGGCTGGGCAGGGAGGAGGAGGTGGCGGGGAGCGTGGCGGGGCTGTGAGCTTTGTCGCTGCCCGACTCGCACTCGGAGGCGCCGCTGGTGTTGGTGCCCTCGGAAGGGGCAGGGTGGGACAGCTTGAGCCGCTTGCAGGCGGGTTGGACGCGGTATTTCAGAGGCAAGGGGCCGTTCTGCGGGGAAGGAGGGGGGGCAGAGGGGCACGGCTGGCACCCTGTGGTGCCCACGGTACCCCACGGCACCCCACAGCACCCTATAGCACCCCATGGCATCCTATAGCACCCTATGGCATCCTATAGCACCCTGCAGCACTCCACCGTAACCCATGGTACCCTACAGCACTCCACAGCACCCCACGGTACCCTATAGCATCCCATGGCACCCCATGGCATCCTACAGCACCCTACAGCACCCCACCATAACCCATGGTACCCTACAGTACCCCACAGCGCCTGACAGCACCCTATAGCACCCCATGGCACCCCACAGCACCCCACAGCACCCTATAGCATCCCATGGCACCCCATGGCATCCTACACCACCCTACAGCACCCCACCATAACCCATGGTACCCTACAGTACCCCACAGCACCCCACAGTACCCTATAGCACCCCATGGCACCCCAAAGTACCAAACGGCAACCCAAAGCATCCCATGGCACCCCATGGTACCCCACAGCACCCACAGTACCCCATTGGACCCAGGGCACCCCATGGCACCCCACAGCATCCCATGGCACCCCACAGCACCTCATGGCACCACACAGTATCCCACAGCACCCCATGGTACCCCACAGCACCCACAGTACCCCATTGGACCCACAGCACCTCACAGCACCCCACAGCACTCCACAGCACCCCATGGCACCACACAGCATCCCACGGCACCCCATGGTACCACACAGCACCCACAGCACCCCACAGCACCCCACAGCACCCCAGGGCACCCCATGGCACCCCACAGCACCCACAGCACCACTCAGCATCCCACGGCACCCCATGGTACCCCACAGCACCCACAGTACCCCATTGGACCCACAGCACCTCACAGCACCCCACAGCACTCCCAGGCACTCCATGGCACCCCACAGCATCCCATGGCACCCCATGGCACCAGTGTGCCCACGGCAGCAGCCCCGCTCACCCTCCTCCAGGGGTAGATGTAGGCGATGTCCATCAGGGTGTAATATTCCTTCAGGGGCTCATCCTCATACAGCACTTCCACCTGGCCCAGGGGACACGGGGACACCGTCAGGGCCCCGGGGGGGGGGACAGAGGCACTGCCAACCCCCCAGAGCCACCCGTGGGGGGTCAGGGGGTCGCTGTCCCCGAGTGACTCCCACAGAGCGGGGGGCTCCCGGGGCTCCTGGTTACGTGGAACAGGCCTGAAAGGATGGATCCTGCCCCGGGGAAAGGATGGATCCAGCCCTGGGGAAAGGATGGATCCAACCCCAGGGAAAGGGATGGATCCAACCCCAGGGAAAGGGATGGATCCTGCCCCAGGGAAAGGATGGATCCTGCCCCAGGGAAAGGATGGATCCAACCCCAGGGAAAGGGATGGATCCTGCCCCAGGGAAAGGATGGATCCTGCCCCAGGGAAAGGCTGGATCCTGCCACAGGGAAAGGATGGATCCAACCACAGGGAAAGGATGGATCCTGCCCCAGGGAAAGGATGGATCCAGCCCCAGGGAAAGGATGGATCCAGCCCCAGGGAAAGGTTGGATGCAGCCCCAGGGAAAGGCTGGCAGAGCAAAGCTGTCTGGGGGCAGCAGAACCCGGCGCCTGCAGCCGGGGCTGCAACACGGGGAGGCCAAACCGGCCCCGGCCCCTCCGAGCCCACCAGGGCACAGCGAAATCCGGGCAATGAGCAGACCCCGGGCACCCCCAGGCACCCCCAGACACCCCCAGGCACCCCCGGGGGTCCCCTCACCTTGTACTTGCTGGGAACATCCATCTTGTTGCGGAGGAACTTGGCGAGGTGCATGACGGTCATGGCAGCGGGACAGCGCAGGAACCGCAGCCCGTTGCTCTGGGGCCGGGGGGAGACGTCGCTGAGGCCACCGGGCAGGTCGAGGAGGTGCCCTCGACCCTTTTGGGGTGCCCTCCTGTGCTCCCCCGCACCCCAAAAGCCCCGGGGGCAGCCGGGCACGGAGCTCCCCGTGTCGCAGTCCCACCACACTCACCTTCTCCTTCTCCAGGTCCCCGTTCTCCATGGTGCCTTTCTTTTCCTCTCTGGGGGGGGAGGAAAGGAAACACAGGACAAAGTTTATGGAGGAATGAAGAGGTGGAGAGGAAGAAGAACCCCCCAGAAGGGTTGTCCATGGAGGAGGCATCCAGTGACCTTCAGCCAGGCTGTGGCTTCACCCCCCCAGCCACTTGCATGCCCATTTCCAATCCAGGCCCTTGCAACCACTGACTCCTCCCAAAACGCTGCTCCGGGTGCCAGTGGCATCCTCAGAGGCCACCACCAGCATCAGGGACACAGCAGCTCTTAGGAAAGAGCTTCCCTGCCTGCTTGGCATGGAAGGTGTCCCTACCCATGGCAGGGGGGTGGAATGAGGTGATCTTTAAGGTCCCCTCCACCCCAAACCATTCTGTGACTCCACGATCTCAGTGCCAGAGGGGGGAGAGAAGGTGGGAGTTTCTTCCCAAACCCCAAACCCAGGCAGAGGTTTGGGAGGAGCCCAAAAGTGGTACCTGGAGCCCTCGTAGAACTCGATGGACAGGCTGACGATCTCGTCGTCCGTCAGGTTCCCCTTGTCCTGCTCGGACACCTCCCCTCGATCCTCGTTGGAGCCGTTGGGAACTGCGGGAGCAGAGGGAGGGAGGGGCTGAGCCGCTGCTGGGGAGGGACACGGCGGGGTCGGGGGGGGGACACTCACCCTCGGCCATGGGATACGCGGCGTAGAAATCGCGGCGCCTCTTCATCTCATCTGAGGGAGGAGGAGGAGGAGGGTGAGGGGGGAAAACACCTCTCCGAGGAGAGATGGGGGCAAAGAGTGGGGTGTGAGAGGAGCCCCCAGACTGCCCAGTGCCCCCCCCCCGGGGAGCAGCGGCTT